CTTTTGGTTGTCAAGTAAGGTCTTGTTGACTGGTGTTTAGCTGATACCAAAATGATTTGAAAGAATCAACCATGCAATTATCTGAGGATAAAAATTCTAGGCAGAGAAGACCACTAGTATGAAGACCCAAAGATCTCATGAGCTTGGACCATTTGAAGACCATAAAGAGGAACTGAGTAGTTTCAGTGTAGTTCGAGTATGAAGGTGGCAGAAATGAAAGTTGGAGAGGTGGGTAGGGGCAAACTCTTGTAGAGTATCTTAGGCAATGGTAAGAAAGTTCAATTTTTTTAAATTTCAAAAAGAGATCATTAAAAGGCATTAAACAAGAAAGTAGCTAATGTTTCCTATTTGACTTTAGGCAAGATTCTCAATACTCTGGATAAAGGGCTATGAATAGCAGGATATCCTTAAGTGAACAGTATTATGCTGTTAAGACATAGTTATTTTTTTCCTGAAATTCTGGAGAGTTTTGTGGTTATTCTGAATGGTTATTTTTTTAAATCTTAGAGAGGAATTTGAGTTCACTCATGAATGATTTTACCCTGAAAGCAATAATGCTGGCTATCTGATGTGTTTCACTTACATGCCCGCCAGGTAATTGTATCTCACAGGTCCTTGGTAAGAATCATATTGATATCTGTTAGTCTGCTAGTAATCAACCCCAATTATGCTGTGGTAAATAAACCAGTCAGATATTTATTTTCTAGTATAAAAGATATCCATAGCATATTAGTCTAGTGTTGGTATGGCAGCTGCACAAAATCACCAGGGACTCCAAAACCTCCTTTCTATTTGTTCTTTTATTCTTAGCATTTATCTTCTGATCGCAGTGACACAAACACCTGTAGGAATTACACACATAACATTTGTATTCTAGACAGAAAGAAAACCAAAATGATGTGAACCCTCATGGGCTCATTTTTGTTACAATCCATTGTTTTCATTTCTCCAGTTTTACTTTGTATTATAAAGAGCCCTAGACACAAAAACTGAAATCCAGGACCCTGTTTCATCTTGCTTCCTGACAGTCACAAATATGAGTCACTTTGACTAAAGGAGAGTGGGAGGAAAGGAAGTCTACTCCACCCCTTGGCCTTTCTCCTGACCCCCTAGCACACTGCCTTAGCCTACATCTCCAGCAGTAGTTGTACCAAGTCCATTGGCTCCAGCTCTCCTGGTGGAAAGAACCATCACATTTCCAACTTTTGCACATAAATTGTTGTAATCCCCAAACCCATGAATATTTCACCTTATAATGCAAAAAAAAACTTTACTGATGTAATTAAGTTTATAAACTTTGAGGTGAGGAGATTTCCTGGACTATATTGGTGGGCCCAGTGTAATAACATAAGTCTTTAAAAGTCATAAACCTTCCCTGTCTACAGAAAAAGAGAGAGTTGTGGCAGAAAGGGAAGAAGAAGTTCTGACACTTAGGAAGGACTCAATCTGCTGTTGCTGGCTTAAAAGAATAAGGGGGCCATGACCAACACATATCAGACAATACCTAAAAACGGAGCATGATCCCTGGATAACAGCCAGCAAGAAAATGAATATGTAAGATCTACAACCACATGAAACTGAATTCTGCTCACAACTTGCATGATCCTGGGAGCATACTCCCATACACAAACACAACTCTGCCAAAAGGAAATATAATCCTGCTGATACCTTGATTTTAGCCTACTGAAACCCATGTCAAACTTCTATCTACTGGACTATGAGATAATAAATTTGTGTTTAAAGCCTCAAAATTTGTGGTAATTTGGAAAATTTCAAAAGGAGTTTTTACCAAAAACTGCCCAATAAGATAGACTTTTTTTTTTGTTAATTGCCCCTTCTAATTGCAAGGTAAGCTGTACAGTATGCTCTCAATAAATTCAAGAGTCTGTTACTGAGGAAAAGTGGGAGGATGGCTTTTGAGAAGGTTCTAGGAGTCCTTGACACACAGTTTATGCTCATTGCTAAAACAGTCCCTGATGAGTAGAATATAGGAGTTTGATTAGCCTAGACTAGTGTTATTTGGACAGTGTTTGAGCCTCCACAGAAGCACGTAGTTAGTTAACTGTTCCCAAAGAAAATGGAGTTACAATTATCAAGAAAGAAGGAAGAATCATGGTTGGGAAACTAAGATCTGCCATAGCCA